GCCTATACTTAATGCTCTATATGTATATATTCATATATATATATATATCAGTCATATCTCTCATAGATCCATGACTGCAATTGCGTAATCCCTAAGGCGCCTCGACCCGTACACGCACAGCGGCACACATCCAAGCCTACAAGTACACAGAATGAATTGAAAATGAACTACCCATTACATTGTAGAAATGGGTGGACCTCGTTGTCGCAACTTTGTCTTGTTGTCAGGGCGACTTAATAGAACGCACCTAGTCCGAAGTCGTCTGCTATAGCATTTGTCATAATTCCCAGCATCAAACAGTGGACTTGGTACATTCTCAAACGTTTCGCCGGCATCGTAGTCAGCATCATCAGTGAGTTTCGCCATTTTCCACACCAAGCTACGAACTCGTCCATACCAGAAGCCACAACTTCTTGGTCTTCATATCTTCAATTAACCATTACATTCTTCAAATTTATATATTCTTAAGTTGTTTGTCGTAGTTTGAGTATAATTAGCATAAGAGTTGGGGTTGGTTAGATTTAGGTGTTTTGTAAGATTGTGATACAGCCTTGATCATGTCCGTACAGCGACATGAACCCGTTTGCACCCGAGTCGAAAGAGGATGCCTTACGGACTGCATCAAACGACGGCAATACGTCGGGAATCTGCTGCCTTCTTGTGGTGGGATAGAACTACGAACTGCTGCAGTTGATTTAGTTTAATGGAGGTGGCAACAATCATCTCTCCAAAGTGCATGAAGCCTGTCTAAAAATGGCATCTGAAGAGAGACTTGTATACACACATACACATTCATACGCATAAACACATTCTCAACGCTGCGTTGCTGTTGGCAGTTGGGGTAGTCTGTTGCCCTGGAGTGTTATTCACCCCATATGAAGATCCCGGATGGCGTTTTTTGTGTGGACAACCACACCGGCCATGTCCATGCTTTACCAGCACGGCTGGTGGTATCTCGTTGTTAAGGCTGAGCTGGGACATTCTCCTTTTGGGAGTAAGAGTTGGTAGAGATGAGTCCGACTTCAGATTGGCTCACTATCATCACGATCGAATAAGATTCACTTATTTAGTCAGTCGGCTCATCAGGAATTCAGTCACTTTTCTAGTCAATCATAGGACAATTGCCGTTTGTGCATACACTGTTCATGTTATCTTCCACACAACTATTCAGCCGGATTTATGTCGTGTGATGTGTCAGTCCTTCAGTTTGTCATGCCAGTGTCCATCTGCTTGTCTCTCTCCACGTGTGGATGTGTACATCCTGCAAATTTTTGTTGTAGGTTCATTTATCAAGTTTCTCAGTGCACTGGCTCTGGTTTAAGGCATATGCCCACCGCCTGGTCGGGTTGCCGACGGACCTGTACGCAAACAACACTCTATGCGAGGCATTATCATCGTTGTACGATATGCTCCTCTTCACAGCTGTTCGTATCTGCCGGCCAGACACTTCCACACTCGACGAAGTGTGCAACCTCAACGTTCGCGTCTACATGGCACCAGAGCATGGGATATAACCGGAGTTGAAGATGTGGCTCAACGTTTACCATTTGTCAATACTCTATAAATAGGTTTTTTTTGGAGAAACGGTAAAAGCCGCTTATCTTCAGGGATGATATTCCAGCTCAAAGGCAGAGTGGAATGAACTGGATTTAGCAGGAAGCAAAAAATGTCTCTCCTTAGGCAAACACAGTGGTGCTCCCGGGTTGAGTACTTTGCCAACAAAGGCAGACATGGGCGAGCTCGACAACAAAGAAATGCAGGTGAGAAGGTGGGAGTGGGTTGTAGACAGTAAATCTCCAGGTCTGAAAGCATAAGCAAAATGGCAGAAAAACCCGAATATATCAAAGCGTCCTCGGTTATTCCGTCGATAGCACCATACGGCAGATGCTTTAACACACACACACACACACACACGCACACATATATAAATATATATATACATGGTGCAGACAGGCAAACTCACACTTGAGTATTTATGCATCTATGGACTCGCTACGAGGATAATTGGTGTCCACACGACTCGCTTTTGCACCGGGTCTCTGAAAAAAAGGA